AGTATCCGACTCCAAACACGGCAAAGAAGCTCTCTTCTTTTCTAGGACTTTTGTTCATATATTATAGGTCCTTTATAAAAGATTTTGCGGCTATCGCTGAGCCATTGTTAAAATTAAAAAGGAAAAAGGCAAGATTCTCGTGGACGGCCGAAGCCAATAGTGCTTTCGAAAAATTAAAAGAAATTAACAAAAACAAGCATTAACGCAAGCCCCTGTGTTGAAATTTCCTGAAAAGGATGAAAATTTAGAAATTTCAGCGGATGCTTCGGATTATGCGGTAGGAGCGGTACTTTCGCAAAATCAGCAGCCCGTGGCATTTTTTAGCCGAACTTTAAATCAAACACAAAGAAACTATTCCGCGACCGAGAGAGAGGCACTTGCAGTTCTGTTAGCAGTGCAAAAGTTCCGAGTCTATTTTGGAAAGGCGCCGATAACAGTATATTCTGATCATGCGGCGGTAACTAGATTGTACTCAGGGAAAAAATTTTATCCCCAAGGTTAATAAGATGGGCACTCAAGCTGCAAGAATATAATCTGGTAATCAAGCATACCCCCGGAAAGGAAAATATCGTAGCAGATGCCCTATCACGAATTAAAATTAGACGAACAGGGTAATACCGTAAAAGTTGCAATGCTGACAGCGTGTACAATAAATTCCCGAGAAACTGTAATAACCGAACTGGGTAAGGATCCTGAGTTTGGAAGTATTTATGAGTATTTGAAGGATCCTGAAAATTTTAGCCACCAAGATATTGTGGCGATAAGAAATAGGGGCGGCCCATTACGAACTAATAGATGGTCTATTATTTTATACAAAAACTACGAATTCCAACAACGAATTTCGACCTGTTATCCCAGCTAGTCTTAGATTAAATATCCTGCAAGAGCTCCATGACAGCCCTTTAGCTTCTCATGCTGGTATTCGAAAAACTATCAACGCGTACGCGAGGCAGTCTACTTTCCTGAACTGCAAAAGTTAACAAGGGCGTATGTCCAGTCCTGCCCAACATGTCAAGCCGTTAATTATATTAATTTCCGCCCGGCCGGGTTTCTAAAAATAGTATTAAATCCGAATTTCCAAATGAAATAATCGGCATCGATTTATTGGGCCCTTTCCCAAAAAGTCAGTTAAAAACAAAAGTCGCTATCTCCTTGTTTATGGTTGATCATTTTAGTAAATGGACCGAAATTGTTCCCTTAAAACGAGCCTCCGCGAAAATTAGTTACCGATTCTATTTTAAATAAATATATTTTAAAATACGGGGCGCCCCTAAAAGTTATATCGGATAATGGTCCTCAATTTGTAAGTAATATATTTGAAGACATGTGCCAAAAAAACTGGGCATACGTCATTTAAAAATGGTCCCGTATCGGCCGCAATCAAATATAGCGGAACGGGTCAATAGAAATATAGTGAAAATTATCCGTAGTTATGTTAAAAATTTTCATAAAAGCTGGGATAACTATGTCAATGAATTTGCTTTCGCCCTTAGGACCGCAAAACATGATACAACGGGCAACGGGCAAACTCCTGCTGAGTTATTTCTAGGCAGAAAGATTATAACACCGTTAGATAAATTATTTTATGTGCAACAAAGAGCCCCAGAATTTAAAATGGGTGATATAGAAAAACTAATAAAAGAAGCAAAAAAAAAAGAATACGGAAGTAGCACAGAGAAAACAAAATTGTATTATGACTTGAAACGACGGGGAGTAACTTATAAAGTAGGGGATGAAGTATTAAAAATTAAGCATTCACTTTCTTCAGCACCAGAAGATAAAACTGCCAAATTTTTTTCCACGATTTGAAGGACCATATGTTATAGAAAAAATAACTCACGCTGTTGTAGTGTTAAAGGCCAAGAAATGGTGAAACCTGTTCCGCAAACATTGACCAGATAAAACCATTCTATGATCGTAATAAAATGCAAATCTTTTTCAGATCTTTTGCAGGATCCGGTACGGCAGACACCGCAGGTACAAGCTCCAGAGGTGGGAAAACGACAAGTACAAGGGCAAGCCAATGAGAGACAGAAGCAAGTGAAAAGAAAATTGCCCCCCGCGGAAAAATTGAAGGTACAAAGAAAAAGAAGCCGTTCCACCGTCCAAAAAACAGAGTTCACGAACACCCCCCCCAGAATGAAGAAGGGAGAAGGACGACGTATGTGGAAAGAGACCAGGAGAAAGGACGGCAACTATAACCCGGCTGTAAAAACGGAAACGGAAGATCTGACTCATCCGACAGGAACTCTCCGCAGCAAAAGTCGCCGAACTGCGGAAGGGCCATCAGCGGCGGAGGAAAAAGTACAAGAAAAAATTTGAACGGCCAACAACGAGGTCCAAGCAGGATCACGACAGAAGTTTCCCGGTTCCACCAAGACCAGCTGCCTTCAAACGGCCAAGACCACAAGCAGAGGACAGAAGGAAGATGTTCAAGGGTGGCCGTAGTGGTGAAAAACGGAAGCTTCCAGAGGAAAGCACTGAAGGGCGAGCCCGTACAAGAAGGAGGATAAACCAAGCTACGGTCTGCAGCACCTTTAAAGACTGGGCCCAGAAAAGGATGTCCTGAATATTTACAAAGATAAGTAAAATTTTATGTTACTTTGCAAACTTAAGTTAATCTTTCATTCTTACTGCAAGTGGCAGATTTCAAGAAGTTTTTTACCTCATGCGAGGTCTACCTTTATCGCCAAAAGGGCGAGAAATGAGTTGTTGACCGATTTTGGTATTATGTTTTTCAATTACTCGCGCGTAAAACTAAAGTTGATGTATAATAGCGTTGTGTAAAGACTTAAATATTGTAAAAAGTTATTGTATAAATTTTATTTAAAACATTCTAGCAAGAAAGAAGTTTTTAGTCTGAAAGACTTTTTGAAATGTAGTATTATTTCAATGTAGAAAGAATTGGCACTTGCTTTGAAAAGAATAGAAGTTAACAATGTACTACTAATGTATGTTTTCAAATGTGTAAAATTAACGGCATGTTGATATGTTCTTATATACATGTGAACTGTTATTTTTTGAATGTTAAGAAATACCGTGATATGGTAAAAGTGAAAGTAATGTTAAAAACTTTGTTATTCGTGTGACTGTAAAGATTAAATCATGGTGAATATGTGTTAAAGGTTGAATGATGTAGTTAGGCTCTCTGACGCTACACTTTAGAGTTAGCCACTTTCAGAATAGTACCTCAGGGTCTAGAGTTGAAATTAGGGTGTGTTAAGAGGTCTCGTATGTTGAATTTTAACACGTTAGTGTTTTGATTGTAGGAGGAAGTGTTGAACACATAGACAGAAACACATTCGTGTTTGGTGTTTTTACAACACATGTCAGAGAGCACGGGGAGAGATAATTAAAATAGTCATGAATGAAATAAGAATGTTAAGAAAAGTATATTCTATATGTTATTTGCCAATGTCATTGTGTAACATTTCATTAAACTAGTTTTCCTTCCAGATCTCTGGAAGGAACCAGAATTGAATAAAAGCTCCTGTTTTTAGATGCAGTACAGATGAAAAAGAAAAAAGATTGTTGTATATTCCGTGGAGCTGCTATTGTAACAAATTTCTTTCTTTTAAATTTTCTAGTTTCTAGTTTCTAGCTAAGTTATGTTTGTAAAAGTTTGGCCTCGCGTTAGATTCTAGAGCTAAAAGTTTTCAACAAGGTCGTTTTAGACCTCAGTTTCAAACTAATTAACTCTGGCGGGAAGTATGTAAGGATCTTAAGTTTTACTAACGTTTATTTTATTTTAAATCTTTACTATCACTTCTTATTTTCTACTTCCGGCCAGAATTATAAGCGTGAAGGAGTTTTATGCAAAGTTTGTCTGGCGAACGCCAAGTATTTAAGTTGTGGCCTTTTTGCCAAGCAGAGAGAGGAAGCAGTGAGTTCGAAGCAGGCCGCTTACCTTAGAAGTTACGCAGTTGTTGCTACTTTTGCCTTCCAGGCCAGAGGTTTTAATCCTCTTGATAAATTAAACGTATTGTAGTGTTCACAGTCTCTGTGCTACATACGCTTTTCTGTTATTATAAGGCCAATCTTATTCTAAAGTTAAATTAGAGTTTAGTTTTATTTTTGATATCTTTTACGTTAGACCCCGAGTGGAGGGTCATTGTATTCCGAAGTACGGAAGTCATTGTATATAAAGAAAAAAATAAAGGGTTTTGTATACCCTTCGTCTGTATCCTGTCTACTTACTACAATTAGTGAACATAGCTTTAGTAAGCTCTCTGTTCTAGTCAGGTCATTGTATGTTTCCGAAGAAGGTTAGAAGAAACATTGAACCTGATACACATATTATTTTATTCATGTCATTTAAATGAAAATAAAAGTTTAAAAATTTATTTTAAGAGAGATTTTTTTATAAATAACGTTATTTGTAGAGACAATGCGTTCAAAAATCAACAAATTCGTTTTTAAATTTTTTTAATATGAAATGGCTTAACCTAGAAAATATGTTAGCCAAAATATGTTATGTTAATAACTCAAACTATGTGATAAATAGGGATAGCTTATACGTGCATGCATAGTAATAAATAAAGAAGATAAAAGTCGAAATGTAACATTAGATTAAATGCTACATTTCCAAAGAAATGTAACATTAGAAATAATATTTGATTTAACAATTTAAAATCTGGAATATTTTTGCATGCGTAATAGTTTAACTAAGCATTCTTTTCGCTGCAATGTAAATAATGAATTACAGAGCAGATAACAGTAATTAATGATATTTGTTTTTGACGGAGTGCATTTGAGTAACCTTATCCTTCAGTAGCAATAAAATGTTTCACTAGACATAAACAATCTTTTCTGATTCAATCAGTACCATTAGAAATCAGTTGAATTTATTTTCACCGCCACATGAATTAAATGAACACAGTATATCGCCTTGAATATAAACTAACCATTAGGAAAAATATACAGCCGTAGAGAAACGGACACAGAAAATGATGTCAAGCGTGAAATTGGTTTGAGACATAAATCATGCAATGTTTCCTTACCTCGAAAGATTCATCGTTTTGGTAGAGGGGTCTGCATTTAGAGTAATCAGAGCGTAGAGCCCAAGTTCCGTTGTCGTAGCATTCACGGGTGGCATTTTCTGAAAGAGAATTACTATTAAGATGCATTTAGTTTTTAATGCTTAAACACCATGAAGTGTAAATAGCTGTTAATTTTAGAATATTATAACAGCGAATTACACTCACATTTATACAAAAAATAAAGTAACAATTTAAAGCTTTACTGATTTGTGCTGAAAAAGCTTAGCTAGCATGCTATTATCAATTTATTGCAAGTAATATTTAATGAAAATAATTTTTTTTTCAAGATTCAATTATATGTTCAGCTATAAATTATTATAATTATATGTTATAAATTAATGATATGTTTAGCCATTTAAACAGGGCTATAGAATAATTACCTTAATACATACATATATACACACATACATATCTATAAGATAAAAAAAAAGGTAAATCAAAACTCTAATTTTCAGTAGTTTCCTTTATCCCCGTTTTTAATTAGGTTATTTCTGCTTTCTGAGATAAAAATAGTAACTGATTATAAAAAAATTGCTTTAAATAGCATCGTTTTAAAACTAATCCATGTCATATGATTCTTGCAAACACTAAAGATACAGACATTTACATAATGCTTCAGCCAATACTAATTTCAAATAAGGGAATTGAAACTTATAATTAGCCAACGAAACTAAATTAATTCTGAGTTAAACTTTCATCTTGGACACACTGCGTTCGCACTCTGCTTCCTTATCTAGCTAGGTTGCTGTCGCTGCATTTCTTACTTCGACATCTGAAAAATATAATATTTATTCTAGAACAAGAGCGTATACTTTGCCAGTTTATCTGTGTTGGCTTGTAAAAACTGCTTGTCATCAAAAATAAAGAAAGTTTAGATTGACCATGACTCTGCAGTTACATTTTTATACGTCTTCACGTTCAACATTCATATTATATATATATATATATATATAGTATACATATTTGCAGGAGCTATGATAAACGGGACGATTTAATTATTTAATTAAAATAAGTATGGTGTAAATCATTAAATAAAGAATGGGAATGGCATATGACTGATACGAGGCAAAGTAACCCAGCAGCAATTTTAATGGTTGTTCAAAGAGTTCAGAGAATATATCCTAACGATTTTGAAATCGCGGTAATGAAGGCAACGGCATTATAAACCCTGAGCTCATTTGCCTTTAGTTTCTAATGGCCCCCTAAATGATGTAAACAGATAGGCGGTTCCGTATATTTTGTATATAGAGATTCCTTTTATGCAAAAAAAAAAAAAAAAAAAAAAAAAAAAAAAAAAAAAAAATGCGGGATTTGTAAACAATCAGCCTAGTTACGAAATATATACATTAATAATTTATTTACATAATGATATAAAAACTAATTAATTTAAATTAACAAGTACAGTCATCTCAATTATTTCTCAACGCATAAACATATTTATAGAGTTTCATGGATTCAGGTAATAATAGCGTGAAATTGTGTAGATTAAAATTTTGGCACATTAACCTTTTATGCGTTTCAGGTATTTTACTAAAAACATTCAACCCAATTAAATCATCCCTAGGTATGAAGTATTAAAATAAAATCCTGAATATAACAGATGATTGTAATAAGGATACACGTTATTGTAGGTAAGGTAATATGGTTTCTCCAAGCGACATCTTTGTACTTTGGATGTCATATAAAGCTCGTTTTATCTGATAAGTGGACGAAGAAGGCGGGGATAATAGTTACAGTTAACAAAAGCTTTGAAAATGTATGATGTTGGATCTTAGGACGGCGACGAGCTCCAATCACATCATCAATCAGAGATATCGAGCTTGAACAACTATCGTCTCATTTTGAAGAATATGAAGAAAAATGGACAAGAGCATGACATATGAGAAATGGCTGCTTACCCACTCACATAGAGAAAGAACTAAATCATTTAATTTTAATAAATTATTTGATCCAAAGTAAAAGTATCTTAATTTATATTATATTACTTTCGTAAGCATAAAAATATTTTGTACATATATACATTAGGTGAAGATTTTTTTCAATTAAAAAAATAAGACGAGTGATAAACGTTGCATTTTATGAAAACTAATTGTGTTCTTTTGTAAGAAACCATTTATCTTGCTTTCTATGTAGGATTTAGATAAATCAAAAACATTCATGTTATTTATCTTTTATACCAGCTTCTGCAAATATGATCCTTAATATTAATTTCAAATCTCATTTTGTTCTCGCTGAGGCACTCTCTTGAGAATTGCTTTAAAATAATATTACAGCATATAGATTTTAAAATACATTTTAACTAAAATATTAGAATTCGTTTGACTGTTTTCAAATTAAAAGCCTTCCTTTTTTAAATACCATCTTATCTTTTAGATATCGTACATTAATGGTATAGCGGATGGGCTGAATGTATGGGTTATTAACACGTTTGCCGAAGAAAGTCCTCCAGGAAGACGTTCATCATTTTAGACAAATACTCTTTGCATGCTGCAAAACAAACCATTAGATATCTTCTATGTGCAGCACTTGTTCATTAATTATTCCTATGTGTATCATTTATTCATGAACGATGAATGATGATGCACATCATTTATTCTTCTGCGTGCATCATTTATTCATTAATATTCATTCATGTTCATTAATATTCTAACTTTTTTCTTTCCAGAGTTTGATTATGTATTGATTGTTATGGCTCTCATTAAAAATCATATACTGTAGAACCGAATAAAAACGTTAAGTTTTCATAAGTAATAAAATCTGGACCTCTTAATAAGTATGAACAGTAAAATAATTACATAAAACAATGCGAACTAACGAAACAGCTAGTAACATAGAAAAAGTAAGAAAAATGCTGTTTTTCTAGCCTCAAACTTAAATTTTCAGGTATTTATAGTCTTAAGGTTTAAAGATAAGAACGTCTGGTAATAATTTTTGCTTATTTTGCTATGAAAGTAACGAAATGCTATATTTATTACTGAGTTCTCTTTTACATCCACAACAACTTCAATTAGTTGATAATTAACAACTGGACCAGTAAATTACTCAATGATTGCGTTTTTAAAATATTAGAAAGAAATTGGATTTAATATTTACCATTTCATATCATCCATCTGGAAATGATCAGAGTGAAAAATTTACAGTAACCCTAAATTATGAAATTGCTGCATTTGCTCATAGGTATGCGAAATATTTCAAATAATTAATATTGCCACTGCACGTTTTTTACGTCGAATGAAAACTAAAAACAGGTGAAACTACTAAAATATTATTGTCAAATACGCGGCGTCTTTAATGCGTCTCTGTGACTATAACAATATTTGCTTTTCAATGTAACAGAGTGAGTCTATATGCTTCATAATAATATTTTGATATACTTCAGGGAAAACAAGATTGTTAACAAAATATCTGATATTTAAGCAATGATTTATATACAGTGGCTTCGTTATTATTTATCAATAGCAATACTATGCTCGTTTAATTTTCTCAAATACCTTCCAGTAAAACGTTGTGACGTTGACGTCACAAAACCGTTGTCCGGGCCACCTTATGAAGTCTATGAGCGCTGCAGGTTTTGAAAATAAAGAAAGGGGATTTCCACTTTCAAAAGGTGCAGAAAAGTGGCAAATATTATTTTACTTAGAGTAAGAACGCATTTATATCAAGCTTTAAAATAATGATATCGGTGGCTGTTTCTACAAAGAAAGTGGAGATTGAAAAGGTTAGCATCTGGAAGGAGAAGTTACACTGTAAACTATTCGCACACTAAAATCATCACTGAACAAACCAAATCTCGATGTCTTAAAATATTGAAGAAAACCGCGGGCATGTAGAATTCTAATATCCATTAAAATGGGGTTATTAATCACAAAATTCTATGAAATAATTATAAACGAGTTTATAGATACGTATAGTCAAGAACGTATTTTAAACTGGTTCGATTTTGGCGCATTATTTATTATAACCGATGTGCCACCAACTTTCATTTGCTCATGTTTTATACTGGCATAAGTAATTCAACGGAATGTAAAGTGATTAATGGTCTGGATAATATAATCGAGTAGTTTAGGCTATTGGATAAAAACACAGTGAAACATTCTTTTAAGAAAAAATTAGACCTTTATGGAATTTTAAAAAGGCAGACTCTGGCTATACTTCCAGGAGAGATTAGAAACACCTTGGACTTCTCTGACTTTCGTTTTGAGGTAAACTCTTATAAATTTATTTCTAAATGAAACAAGGTTTTATTGAATTTTGCGAAACTATTAAGGTAAACAGAAACAGTATAAATGTTTCTGGAGTCCTAAATTAGAAGCACTGAAGAAGAAACGAAATAGATTCTAAAATAATGTCCAAACGTCCGATTAATGGATTTCTAAAGATGCTGCGGAATGGAGAAGTAGCTCAGCAGTTTTAAAGACGAAGATTTTAATTATTAAATGAATTTCTTTTAGCCTTCTGAGCGGACAGGATTTTCGCTAAGAAAGCATAAATTTCCCAAAACTACTATGAGAACAAATTACTTTTTTTGATTTTAATGTAAAACCTCTCCTGGTACTTCATACCTGGATTTGTTTTCTTTTAATATATTGCCTTAATTTCTTTGACAAATTTTAATATGCACGTATATATACGTTCTTACAGGTATCACACAAATATTTTAGCCTACCTCTAAGCGGTAAGGCCGTATATATACGGCCTTACCGCTTAGAGGCTTTTAATGATTCTATTTCTAAAATTAATTTTAGAAAGTATTGTGAAGAGACATATGATATCATAATGGTTGATTTGCGATGTGTCGTTCGTGATACGTCACTCGTAAGGTATGTTCTAAATAAAATAAAGTAAAAACCTGAATTCCAATGGGGAGATTGTTAGAGCGTTCAGTTATTTTTATTTAGAAAACCAATCAAAAGTAGGATGTGTAAAGGATAACAATAGCTCTGTCTTTGCTATTCCACGTAAACTAAATTATATCTTACAATGAACTTGGTGAATTCTCGCACAGGCGTGAATCAATTACCAGCACAGAAGAAGGATGAAAATAACCTTTTATTAATTC